CTCAGACTCTGGACAATCATGGAACAACACTCTCCCAAAGGATATTATTCCTTTCCTGGAGCTGAACCTCCAAGTGCCAGCCTAACCTGGCATTTTGGGCAGCTCCAGGGCGGGTCGTTCCCACCCTTCTCCAAAGGTTTCCCCACAAACCTGCTCTGCTTTCCCTCAGACTCTCTGGACACTTTTCCTGGCCCGGGGGGGTTCCCAGGTGCCCCTTTACCTGTCGCAGCTGTGCCAGGTCGGATTTGTTGCCCACGAGCACGGCGGGCGTGTCGTCGGTGCGGCGCACGCGGTAGATGAGCTGCCGGAACTCGCGCACCTCGTGGAAGCTGCGCCGGTCGGTGATGGAGTAGCAGATGATGAATCCCTCCCCGGCCCTCATGTACTGATCCCTCATGGCCGTGAATTCCGCCTGGGAACAGGGAATCCCAATCCCAGTCAGCCCCGTGCCCGCGGAAAAGGTGGAGATGCAACTGGGATTTCCCGCCCCGGTCATGGACATTCCCAACCCAGTCACGGACATTCCCAACCCAGTCATGGACGTGGACATTCCCAGCCTGGTCATGGACATTCCTGGCCCAGTCACAGACATTCCCAGCCTGGTCACGTACATGTACATTCCCAGCCCGGTCATGGACATTCCCAGCCTGGTCATGGATATTCCCAACCCAGTCACAGACATTCCCAGCCCGGTCATAGACATTCCTGGCCTGGTTATGGACATTCCCGGCCTGGTCATGGACATTCCCAGCCCAGTCATGGACATTCCCAGCCCGGTCACGGACAGGAGGGACCAGGACACACTGGGATGGGACTGGGACACCCCAGGAAGGGCCGGGACACCCTGGGAGGAACCGGGACATCCCAGGAGGGACCAGGACATCCCAGGAAGGACCGAGACATTCCGGGAGGGACCAGGACATCCTGGGATGGGACTGGGACACCCCGGGAAGGGACTGGGACATCGTGGGAAGGGTCAGGACACCCTGGGAGGAACTGGGACATCTCAAGAGGGGACTGGGACATTCCAGAAGGGACCAGGACACCCTGGGAGGGACCAGGACATCCCGGGACGGGATTGGGATATCCCAGGAGGGACTGGGACACCCTGGGAAGGGACTGGGACATCCTGGGAAGGGCCGGGACACCCTGGGAGGAACCGGGACATCCCAGGAGGTACCAGAACACCGTGGGACGGGACTGGGACATCCTGGGAAGGGCCGGGACACCCTGAGAGGAACTGGGATACCCCAGGAAGGGCCAGGACATCATGGGAAGGGCCAGGACACCCCTGGAGGGACCGGGACATGCCAGAAGGGACCGAAACACCCCAGGAAGGGCCAGGACAGCCCTGGGATAGGACTGGGACACCTCAGGAGGAACTGGGACACCCTGGGAAGGGCCAGGACACCCTGGGAGGAACTGGGACATCCCAGGAGGGACTGGGACACCCTGGGATGGGACTGGGACACCCTGGGAAGGGCCAAGACACCCTGGGAGGAACTGGGACATCTCAAGAGGGGACTGGGACATTCCAGAAGGGACCAGGACGCCCCGGGAAGGGATCAGGACATCGTGGGAAGGGCCAGGACACCCTGGGACAGGACTGGGACACCCTGGGAAGGGCCGGGACACTCCAGGAGGGACCAGGACACCCCGGGACGGGACCGAGATATCCCAGGAGGGACCAGGACACCCTGGGATGGGACTGGGACACTTTGGGACGGGACTGGGACACCCTGGGAAGGGACTGGGACATCTCAAGACGAGACTGGGACATTCCAGAAGGGAATGGAACACCCTAGGAGGGACCAGGACATCCTAGGAGGGACTGGGACATTGCAGGAGGGACCAGGACACCCTGGGATGGGACTGGAACACCCCGGGAAGGGACTGGAACACCCCGGGAGGGACTGGGACACCCCAGGAAGGGCCAGGACAGTCCAGAGGGGACCAGGACACCCTGGGAAGGGCCAGGACAGCCCAGAGGGACAGGGACAATCCCACCCCCTCCATTTGGGATAGTTACAGAGGGGACAGGAACCCCCCTGGCGTGGGATGTACCAGGAGTCCCACCAGGCACTGCCGGCAAAGCCGGGCTTGGAGGCAGGAACAGAGCCCAAAAAAACCCATTTTTGGGCTAAAAAGGGATTTGTGTCCCCTCACCTGCTCCTTGCAGCCCCCCTGGGATCCCCCCCAGGTCATTCCCACGTACCTGCCCCGCCGTGTCCAGGATGTCCAGGTTGGCAGGTTCGTCGTCGATGCGGATCCGGATTTTATAGGCGTCCTCTGAACATTCCCAGGATCAGAGAGAAATTGGGAATAATCATCAGCTCACAGAGAGAATGTTACACCAAAACCACCCCACAGCCCCAGAACACTTTAGTCTGAGCTTAGGGTGAGTTAAACCTGCTGCTTTCTGCTGGGATTTAACATTCCCTGGGATAAAATTGTGGGATTTTAGTGTCCCATTCCCAACAAAAATCCACCCTGAGGGGAAGCACAGAGCAATAACATTTTATTAAGCTATTTATTTATCTATCTATTTATCACATTTTATTTTTCTCCAAGCCAGGAAAGGTCTGTGACTCGAGGGAGGAGCCACCACCAACCGCTGGTTTCTTAGGAGACATTATAATATAGATCAATAATATAAATTAAATACTATATGTGAAAATAATTATTAAATACTATATGTGAAAA